GGGGGCTTTTAATGCGTGGACATGGTGGTGGGGGCAACGACGGGGAGCGGGATGGGGACAAGGGACAGCCCCAGCCCGAGCCCCCTCACCATGACACCCCGGGTCTGCTTGTGAGAAAGAGTTAAAAACACGAATTATTCGAGATCTCGCTTAAAAATAACCCTTTTTTGGGCAGCGCTGTGCAGGGGCCAAGCAGCCAGGCCTGGTGTGACCTTTGCCCCGCGTTGCCATGGTGCCATTCCCGCCTTCCGGGGGGTGCAGGCCCAGACTAGGCCGCGTTGGGTTTTTTTTCTTTAGTTTTTGGGGCCCTGCTGAGGGAGAAGGCGAAATTCGGGGACGACATCGCTAGAGGGAAGCCGAGACTCGTGTTTGTCACCGTGACACTTTCTTCACCTGTTTTGTCTTACCCTGGTGCTGAAAGCAGAGGGCGCCAGGATCGCAGAAACACCAGGCCAAGGCTTGGGGCCCAACACCTGCGTTGGGCTAAAAAAGCCCAAGATGTCATGGTTTCACCAGAGCAAATGTTGGAGCCTCTCTGTCCCACCAGGAAGGCTCCTGAGCTCTCGCCTGGATCCCTCTGGCTGCATTTAGGGCCCCCAAATTCCTATTTGCAGCAGGCAGGGGAACATCTCAGCCTTTCCCTTTCCAACATCCCTTAATCCCTCCTAAATCACCCCATCCCCTCTCCCTGCGCCCCTCGCTGGGGTCCCAGGACATTACAGATCCCCTTAAGCCCAATGCATTTTTGCCCAGTTCCTCAAGAGCCGAATGTTGACATTTACCCAAACGATTGGCTTTTTATTGATTCTCCTTAGGATAATTACAGGATCAGCCGCCAGGAGCAACTAATTGCCAATGCCAAGAGCTACCTCCCCAGGTGTGTGGCAAGTCCCCGCTGCAGTCGTCCTTTCGCAAGCGCCATCCCGCAGCACAACCTGAATTAGCAACAGCAGAACGTTTCCTCACCGCAGCAAAGGCAACCGCGATGGCAGAGATAAAGACATACAGCAAGAAAACACCAGAGCAAGTAGTATCACAGTAGCTCAGGCACTGCCAAGCAGCTGTGAACACCAAAATCCCCAGTCTTACACATCCACAGAGCTTATTTCTGCAACCCTTTGCAGGAAGCAAAGCTTTGGAAATAACCCTCCTTCCCACCTCTTGATCACCCATCCAAGGTGCAGGAACAAGATGCTGCAGCTGGGATTTCTCTCTCCTAAGAGAGCTGCCAGCTTGGCCTAATCATCCCTCCACTGCTGATAGGTATAGATAGGCAAGTCACCTCCTCCCAAAGGAGCCATCAATTTAGGTCAGATTAATTAGGAAAGCTCCATGCCTTAGGTTCCTCTCTGCAGGCAGCAGGGAATGTCCCTCTGAGAAGGGACACGCATCCCCCCTGCTTCTAAATCCCGGGGCTCCTTCCAGCCAAGTCTAAGAAAACAGAGAGGTTTCACCCCAGGGAAATCCTTCTCCCTCCATTCTCAAATATCCCACATTTTTTGCTTTATGGAGGATGGACTATTTAGTCATAAGCAGCTGGCTAGGGCGGTCTGAGTTAAAACTTTGGGCTGTGTCTCCTCCTCCTGTAGCCTTGTTCAGTCTTCCCGTTTTAGGAGGAATGGGACCTTAGCTGAGGGCCCAGACCTGCCTGGGGTCGCCCCTTGGTAAGGAGACCGTGCAACGAAGCAGAACGGTTTTGCAACAATTTATTAGCAATGTTCAGAGAAAATACAAAATCCTATTTACAATGAAATCATAAGAACGGCCGGACGAGAGGCAGGGGGATACAGAGCCAGGGCCTGGGTGATGCAAACCTCAAGTAAAGGGCATCTACACAGAGGAAGAGAAACAGCCCTGCACCACCCAGTGGGTCAGAGAACCCAGGAAGAACTTGCCTAAATCTGCAGTTTTCAGCCCAATAGGGATTTCCATCTCTGTTTTCATGTTATTCACTGGCTCGGGTGGCTGATGGTGAAGAGCAAGGGGGTCAGTGCAGAGCAGGACCCAGGAGACATGCAAGAAGGGAGCCCCGTGGTTCTGTTAAGGGACACAGGAGGACAGCAAGACATGTCCACTTAGGTGGCCTGGAGAAGGAGTTGCAGGTGCCATGCAGACAATTCCTACTCAGGAGCAGAAAGCCAGGAGGGGAGCAGCAGCTCAAGCAGCAGCAAAGTCACTCCACATCAGGCAAAAGCACAAGAGAAGCAGCGGGGGCTGCAGACCAGGCTTCTCCTCCCCAGCTCCAGAGCCAGCTGGGAAGAGCCCCAGTGCGGAAAGAAGGGGCAGCTGCGGAGCTCAGCGCTGAAGCCTCTTCCAGGGGACAATTCCTTGGGCTTTCAGAGGCTGAGAATTTTAATAACTCCAGCCACATTCCTCCCTCAAAGCTGGAAAGCAGAAATACCTACAGGACTTTTCTCTGAGCAACACAGCCGCTTACCAGGGCAGAGGCTGTGCATCCCATGTAAGCTCTTCCAGGAGCACCTGCACGGCTCCAACAAGAGCAATACTTGAGCCAGGAAATTCCCTTTCTGCCTTCCTATTCCATAAACTTTTGAGGCTTCTCCCATGCTGTCCCCCTCCCAGGTCTACCTGCTCAGCAGTTCAAGGCAGGGGATCATGAACTTACATTGCCATTACCTAATTAGTCTCCTTTATCCCAGAAAGTGGGGGTTTTTTTTTAGGAGCTGGGAAGCACCAGTTCTTTCCCTGCTGTCACTGCCACCACTCAGGATCCAAAGACAAATGCCCAGGAGGGAGCTTAGCTAGCAAAAGCGCTTGCACTCCTTGCACAGGAACCTTCCTCTTCCTCTGCCCGGCTCGGGGCGCTGAACACGTGCGCCGGGAGGACACAACATGTGAGGGGTAAAAGCCAGGGCAGCAGCAGAGGAGGAATGTGCAGTCTGGAGCATTTTGGCAGAGCCGCTCGCTGACACGCGGGGATCGCTAGAGGCGACGCGGTGACGCACTTGCCCTGGCATTCCCAAGGAGATTGAAGATACGGGGTTCTATCAGCGGGAAGGATCACTTTCTAAATAAGAGCAAAAGGCCCCTTATCTCCACCTGGAGCTTTACAGTTAGAAATTAGCCAGATGATCCCCAAACAGGGGAATGCGAGCAGGGGAAGATGGAAAGTTACCTGCACACTCTGAGGCATCCCATGCCCTCAGTGACATCCCTGTTTAAGAGAGCAGAGCTGGAAAACAGCCAGAGCCAAAGGTGACACAGAAGCACCCACTTTTCCAAGCAACGGGCCTTCACCTTGACCTTAGGCTCTGCACAGAAACCACTTAGGGCCATTAATCTCTAGCCATGAAGACACTGGCATGGAAGCATCAAGATCCTTATGATGGATCACAGGATCTCATCCCCCTTTTCCCCTAGTCCCTGGCTTTGCACAGGCTCTGCAAATCAGTTTTCCATCTGTTCTCTGCCTGTCACTAGTCCTCACACGGGATCGCAGCCCTTCTTAGAGTGCTGCCAAGTGTGTCCCCAGGACAGGGACACAGGAGCAACCCTGCTGCACCGGGAGGAGGGAAGCACAACCTCAGCCCCACGGCCAGACGGAGACAAACCCTTCCTGCGTGAGGGATGTCCTCAAAGAAGCTGCGTGTCCTGAACAACAGGTTCCTCTGTGCCCGCAGGAGCGGTTGCTAGAAGGACATCCAGACTATGGGATCCTTGTGCTCTGCCTTTCCCAAAGCAGGCACTATCAGGAGCATGTCACGCGCCATAATGTCCATGAAGAAATAGAACACGGGTGGAAACCAGAGGGGATGCAAGAATTTCCGTAGCTTTTTCCTTTTCTTCCACTCATTTTCCTGCCAGGATCCTAGCAAAACTCCCTATCTTTCATTTTTTCCATTATTATTTTCCCTTTGCAGAGCTGATCACAGTATTTCAGCATCCCACAAGGTGCAGGACGCAGACAGGCAACTCTGGCAGCCTTTGGGGAAAAGACCTTGTCCTGATGCCTCCCAGTCCCTGATCTGGTTGGATCTCAGCAGGAGCAGAAGCAGGAGACACAACACTTAAGCCCTGCTTTGCTTTCTGGGTCACAGACATTTAACAGCAAATATACAAGCTGCATAAGGAACCCAGGGGCTTTGCTCAGCTGGTGGAATGGAGCCTGCTAGTGGGCCAGAAAGGGTAGTTAATTTTCCCTCTTTTCATCTTTTTCCTTTTAACCTTTTTCTTGTTTTTTTTTAAGCATGCGCCTTGCCAGCAAAGAGAAGACATTGCCTTGCTGCGTTCACTCCTGGCTGGAGCCAAAGAACTGGAGGAAGAAGGAGAAAATGTAGATTATGTCCAGATAGATATTGAGGGCTCCAAAGATGTATTCCTCCGGGCTCAGCGAGTACCGGCGATTCCCCATCAGCATCTGGGTATCAAATGCCAGGAACTGCAGGAAAAGAGGAGGAAACGTAGTGACACAGTCGCACACCGCTTTGGCACAGAACGCTTAACAGGAGTTGTCCCAGTTGCTTTAGTGAACCCACAATGAAAAGACAGCCACTTTTATGGGCCATAACCGCTGCTTAAAAAGCTTAGAACACCACTTTGATCCTGAGTTATGACTTTCCCCTTCATTTCACTCTTGAGAGTCCGGCCCTGAGCCTAACTGTTCCTCCATGCCTGTTCCCAAGGCTCCCCATCACTTCATCTATCCCAGGCACGTCCTCCAGCTCAGCCCTGGAGCAGTTCTTGTTCCTGACTTATTCCTCTTGTACTTCCTCCAGTTCAGAAAGACCCCGCCGGGTTACAGAGTGTCCTGGACCAATGGGACATTTCGGCATCACCAGAGCAACAAATGAGCCAAGACGTTACTGCTTCCTCTTACTACGCTCCGGTTTCATCATCCGGACAGCCCGGCCTTGCAGCTCGAGGACCAGCAGCCGCCAGCGTAGACTTTGTACCTGAACCAGCTGTGAAACATCCCCCCGACCCGGGACAAGCGTGTGCAGCGCTGCTGGCAGACGTAAGCAGAGCCCAAGCAGAGCTCACAGCTACCCAAGCTGTGATCACACCTGAGAACGGGGCACATTTCACCCATGAAGCCACCAAGGCTCTGCTGCTGGGGCAGGAACCCCCTGCCCAGCCTGTGTGTGGGGAGACACAGCCCACGGCAGGAGATGTGGGCAGTAAGACGGGGTGGTGACACAAACCCCACACTTTGTGCCACCTCCGTGTCACACACGGGCTCCATCCCCTCCGTGAACCTAGCCCGAGGTGCCACCTGGGCATGAAGCTCCCAGGAGCTGGCAGAGCATCTCTGCCATTCCCTGGGATCAGCTGGCAGCCCTGCCATCTCCGCTCATAAATAACCATTGATCTCTCCAGACGGATCGTCAAGCTGAGCTGACAGGCCTGGCACTGCCAACTGCACCAGCTGAGCCTCTGATGGAAGTTTATGGGTAATTATAAGATGTTTAGCCTACTTATGTTTTACAGAGCAGTCTTTAATCATGAATCAGAGAAGAAATATCCGAGCTCTCTCGAAATGACTTTATTAGCTATTAAATGAAATTGCTCAACTGCTCTTATTCACGGCATGCCCAATGGGCACCGCCTTGCTCCCCAAGGCAGCCCTCCTCCTGACCCCCACTTCGAGGTAACGCCGAGCCTCTTCCCAGACAACTCCCACGGGCAAACGGCAAGCGCGGCGCTGCCGGGACACGCTCCGGGAAGAGGCTGGCAGCAGGGAGCAGTCGAAGGAAGGGAGCTTTTCACTTGGGCTAAAGGCGCTGCTGGACTTCAGGGCTTTTCCTGCTGCTTCCTAGTGACCCTCGTCCCAAGCCACAGCTTGTAGAGGGTCTTCTATAACCCACCCCTTAATGAAACTCATACCCGCTCCCTACCCAGCTTTGCTCTCATCTGCAGCCTCCCTTTGTGCCCAGGCTGCCCCAAGCCCTGCAGTTCTGCTCCCATTGCTGTGCCAAGCTTTAACCTCTGCTTTTTTCCCCCACTCCAAAGGGGCCTTTTGCTCCGGCTCTGCTTTCTCCCGCTCACACCTAGTGTTGCGCATACGGCCCCGGTTTGCCAATCGCTCCATGCTCTGCTCCGACACCGGCACGTACACCAGCACCTCCTTTGGACCGCGCTGACATCACGGCACTAATTGCTATGCATGAGCCAGTTGAAGATGTGGAGCTCTGCAATCCTGCCATGGACTCCTTCCTTCCCTGGGCACCCTCCAGGGCAAAACCCTTTTAACTCCACGTTTATTCACCTGTTTCTCCTGCACGTTCCCAGCTCCGCGCTGCACTTACCATGGTGAAGATGATGGCACCCAGCAGGGCATAGATCACATGGAGCCAGGGGACCTAAAGAAGCAAATACATCAGTCAGCAGCTGGGAGAAAACTGGTTATTTAGGACTTGACAGGGCTCAGCTCTGCTCTGGAGGAGGCAACCAGGGAAAGTGCTGCCACAGCCCTGGACTTGCACAGCTTCCAGCTCCATCCCAGTTCATTATCATCCTTTTCATGGCAAAAATCAGGGCACCAAGCCTCATTTTCCCCTCTCACTTTAATCTTTGGTTGGCTTATAAGCTTCCAGGTCAGGAACTTGGGTTTCAAAACAGCTTTCCCCAACAAGGCTGGGGTCTCTTTGGGGACCGTTTAGCTCTATCCTGTTGCAGCCTCATTTTGCAGCAATCTTGGAAGGCATTAGTTCACCCAGACAAAATTGATGCCTCTGGAAGAAGCAGAAGATGCTTCCAGGGGAAACAAAACTCCAGGATCTACCGCAGTCACGGTGGGAAATTCACTGGAATTGAGACCAAACTCAAACCCTGCTCGCTGGGACGCAGCCTCACACTGCCCTAGCAGAGCAGCTGCAGGAAAAGGTGTCCACGGGGGCTGCAGACTCAGCCCAGAGATCACAGAATCCCCAGGGGTGGAAGGGAGCTTTGGAGATCACCTAGCCCAAATCTCAGCCTGCTGCCCGGATAGACAAGGCAAACTGAAGCAGCCTCAAGCTACGCTTATCTTGCCACGCATCAAGATATCAGAAGCTGTCGCAACCACTTCATGGCAGCGGTTTGGCAGCGCGGGCTGGTTTACCCTCACACAAGGTGCACACAGGAGTTGGACTCCAGCGCAGGCAGCTAAAAACCAAACTCCCGTTTTGGGAAATGCTGCCCTTTGTGTTCATCCCTCGGTCCAACTCCAGGGCTAGTAACAGGGGAGCATCTCCTGCACATGAGGCCCTCGATTCGGGTCCCCAGAGACACAGATGAGATCCAGGGCAGTTTGGAGGGTAGTTAGAGGCTGCTGTGAGCAAAGCCAGGTGCAAGAAGGTATTCAGGGAGATTAATGGAGCTTGTGCAGCCCCATCCTGCCCCTCTTATCAAGATCTTTCATGGTCCATCAGATTCTTGCTTGAATGATGACTTGGCTAACGGGAAGCTCCTAGATGGAGACCAGGCCCTCCACACCGCCCCAGACCTTCCACCAGGAGGCTGCTCCTTTGGAAAAGGGACTGGCAGCGGCTAGAGGGACAGGGACACCCCATCTTGGGCCAACCCCTGGAGTTTGCCTGCTTGGTGTTGATGGTCCCATCCTTGTGCCAGCACTGGTGGCACTTGGCCAGGAAGGAGGGATGCAGGGCGTTACTCACATATTGGTAGGGCAGTATCACAGCCAGAATGATGCCCCCAAAGAAGAGCACCATGAGCATCACGAAGAGGACGCCCTGGTAGGAGGTGAAGTCAAACTGTGGAGGCAAAGAGCACCGTGTTACAAGGGCAGAGCCCCGGGGCAGGAGCTGGCCAGAAGGGCACCAGTGTGGCTCTCCGGTGGCCACTGGACCCCAGATGCAGATGGGACAGTAGCCCAGCTGCCATCGTAGAGCAAAAGGAACCCAACACATGTTATTGCCCAGAACCCACTGCACTCCGTATATCCCAGAGCCCGTCATTCCTATTTGTGACACTATATTTTGTATTATCATCTTTCAGGATCCTTCTGTACCCCAACCTGGTACTCCAAAACCCAACTTACCCCCTACATTAGCACCTTTGAATCCCATCTTTATCCCAACACGTTATTCACCCAGCCCCTCTCATAACCTCCCTATAATCCTCATTTAATATCCCAGCGCCCCCCACATTGAGGTGTTTCGGAGCAGGGTTCTGGGATGGGAGCAATCCCAGCACACTCTGACCCTGTCCCCTGCCCATGGAAGATGCTTTTCCCTAAGGGAATAATCAGCGTACACTCACCTTGGTCTGGAAGCTGAAGATGGTGACAGAGAGACACACCAGGGCCGTGATCCCCAGGCACAGGAGGACTGACTTGGTATTGTAATAGCTGCAAAATTAACAGCAAAGCCACATTTCTAAACTCTCACAGGGATGGGGGAGATGAAAGACAGGCAGAAACTCAGTGCAGACAGATAAGAAAAGTGGGAGTCAGGGGGCAGAAGCTGCCCTGACCTTCCTGTTTATGTCAAAAGGGAAGGGGAGGCTGAATATGCAGAAAGAGTAGAGGGGCTTTCCCCCTGCTTTAAATAGCAGAGGGTAAGCAGCAGGGCACATCTACGCCTCCCGGGAGCTCACGAGCAGCTAAGATGGGAATTTAACCATAAAAATCTCTGTGTGCATGGGCAGATGGAGAGGAGGAGGATTCAAGCCAGGAGGCAATAAAAATAAAATGACAAATACCATAGCAGCACAATGAGGAATCAGAAAGCTGTTACACTATCAATGTGCTCATAACATGGGGGCTTGGATCTCAGAAAGCTGTAAAGGAGGATGGAGGGATTTAAACACGCAGAGGCTATAGACTTAGGTTATAGTTTTCAGTGGCTCTAGCTGCTGACTTTGATGGGTTACAGCAGCAGATTCAGACCGAAGACAACCCAGGTCCCCACTCTTCCCTTTGGTTTTCATTAGTGATATCGCTAGTATTTTCCCTTAGTTGCTGAAGCTGCCACTTTCTTTGTCCCCAGCATGTGTCCATCAACACCCACTGGCTCATCTGCTCCATCACCAGAGACCCACGTGAGTCAGGGCTGATCTTGTGAGCAGATTGCAACAGTGGAAACACAGGCGAAAGGATGCAAAGCCGTAGACTACAAAAAAAGAAGCTGCTGGGGGTAGCACCATAGCTCCTAGAGAGCAGAGAACATGCAAAGGGAGACCTAGCAAAGGTCAGACCTCGTAGGGCTGCTGGAACAGCTCCAAAGGGATCAATCAACTCAAGTATTTCAGAAGTGAGAAATTATTTTTCAGTGGAAGATCTCCAGGGACCCTGTGCCCAACCTACCTGGAGAGCATCCCGGTGAGATACGCCATGGAGAGAGTCTGGGAGGGAAAAAGAACCACTTTAGTCCTGCATTCATGTCCCAGGGACAGACAGCAAGAAGCATTTCAATCGCAGATAACCATAAGGGCTTAAACCAATGCATGAGATGCAATTTTTGCATAGTTTTTTGGTACTCAACTGAATCATGTCCACAAGGCAGGTTAAAACAAGGGCAGATCACAACCCAAGAGCTGTCCCAACCCAGTCTCTGCCTCTCCATCCCCTCCATCCCTCGTGTGCCATACCCAGCTCCTAACCCCTCACCAGCCTCCACGGGCACTGGCTTTAGACAGAGGCCCTCTTCTCTCCTGCTTATCACTTTCTAGTTCAATTACAGCTCTTTGGCCCAAGTGCAGGGCAATTACAGGATGAAATTCCTGCTTTCTGCAGGACATGGGGCCAGATAAGAGCTCCTCCTGCCTGGAGCTATTGCAAAACCCAGGCTGGCTGCAGGGGCAGGGCAGACACTATCCAGATGCGCCACTTACGAAGATGCTCAGCAAGATGAGATTCCATGGGAAGTATCTCCTGCAAGTGAAGAAACAGGGACCGGTCAGCCCTGCAACACAGGGGCTGGCACTGCTTTGCAGCGCTGCAGAACAGGTATTGTATAATTAATGGTCTGTGCAGCGCATGGCAGGGGTTTTGCAAGCAGATGGTCATTCTGCAGGGAACGAGGGAGCCGTCAGGCTGGGACAAGGTGCCAAGAATCGCCCCGATACCCTAGCAAAGCAACCAGAGCAGACCTTCCACAGTAGCCAGTAATGAGCATTTGGAGCTGTAGAGCAATGCAGTTTGGCTTCCCATCTGTGCAACACGCTGGCAGTGCCTACAGCATTCATCTTTCATTTCCTCAGGTTGTTTAAAACAGAACATTTTACCTGGGTCCAGAGCAGCAAGCCAGGATCAAGTAGGTCACAAAGAAAACAGCGCTGCAAGGGAGAGAGGAAAGGGGCAGATTAGGGAGGAAAACACTTTCCCCATGCTACCTGCTCCAGTCCCCAAGGAAGAACCTGAGGAAGAGCAGAAGGATCCTCCAAAGACAGAGACCCATAGACCCAAGCCTAATGTTGTTGCACAAGCCGCTCAGGTCAAGGGGAAGTTATTTCTCTCGCATGACTTTATCCTTCAGCAAAGCAAAAACTCAGCAGCTTGAGGAATCGTCTCCCTCTGCCCGGAACATCACGTTTCTCTACGGCACCCGTGGGTTACGGCACCGCACGAACCTGCCTACCCGCTTTCACCCAGCGCCTGGGGGAGAAAGCAGCTCCGAGCGCGCCGATGGCAGCGCGATAGCCGGTCCCCTCGGGTCTAGCAAGTGAACGTGACGGCAAACCCCACGGGCCGTGATAAACACCCCGGAGATAAACCCGAGCATTGCCCTCCCACAGGGAAACCAGGAAAGCCAGAGTGGACACGGCTGAATAGGTGGAAAAGCAACGTGGAGGGAATAGAGCCCCTGCATCTGCCTGCCACTATTGCCAGGAGCTGAGAGAACAGGATCTGGGCTTAATTTTTGAGCCTGTATCCCCAGCTGGCCCAAAATATGTTTGCTTGTCTTCTATTCAAAGGAAAACACATGGTAAACTGGCGGGTAAACTGCAAGACAGGAGCCCAGAGGTGAAAGCAAAGACTTGAACAGAGCTTGATCCTGTCTTCCAAAAAGCCCTGCGAGGAAATGCTGCATCTCCAATCTGCAAGCTGGCCAAGCAGGAGACCATAATACCTTCCTTTAAGGTCACCAAAAACATGTTAGCGCTGGGTTCGCAGTGCTATCTTAGTTCTTTTTATTTATTTATTTCAAGTTATATAAGCTGGTGCCTCATCCCCAGGCCTGGACACATTTCATGCTTTGGGTGTGAACTAATTAAAGCCGGATTCACAGAGCCTCCTTCACAGTCAATTGCATTGTGCGCTCTGCCTGCTTAATTAGCAGCACTAACTCAGGTGGCGTCCGAGGAGCAGCACAACTGCAAATATCTGAACGCAGAGGCCCAGCCTCAGCCACCCCCTCGCTGACCTTTTGGTCCAACCGTGTCTAATGAAGGGGATCCCAGGTCCTGGGCACCAAAAGCAGCTCTGCAATGACAAGCCAGCTCAGACAGCTGTGCCCAGACAGGGCCAGAAACACCCTAATACCTCCAAATTCCTCCCCTTCTCTTAACCCTGCCTGCTCCCTTCTATGCGTGTCTGGTGTTTATCAAGGCATGAGGGGCAAACCCAGGCAGCTTCCTTGATTGCAAGGGAACAGCCCCCAAATTAAGCCTTAAAAGTATCCCGAGCATCCTTTCCACTCCCACCTCCGCATTTCTGCACCGTTTCCCTGATTTTGCTGCATTCTGTAAGCAATATTCACATATTTACCAGGGCAAATATATTTTGGCAGAGTGGCCAACCACCCAGCCAGAAGCATTCACGTGTCTGCTGCTGTCCCTCAGACTTGTTTCCATCTCTGGATGGAGATGCCTTTTCATCACCACCCGTACATACAAGAGTGACTCCTCACATGCAAGACATGTTTGGAAAAAAGCCCCAGATCGCTCCAGACTCATCCAGAGGCATCTGGCATGTGCGGGGCCGGAGGAAAGGACACCAATACTCACTAGGAAGCCCAGTACCAGGCAGGGTTCATCTGGATGTACCCTTTGACCGGCTCACTGCAAGACAGAGAAGGGCAGTGTTGAGTGAACACAACACGTCAATCACACCACAAATCACTAAATTAAGCCCAGGAAGGTCTCGGGGTGGCACGGCGTGGGATGCAGCCCAACACCACGGCAGAATTTACCCAGCAGACCGACCTGCTGGAAAGAATTTAAACCTGTCAGCTAGGAAGGATGGCCCTGCTGTTATCGATTACACGGTCAGCCTTGCTCAGGGGAACAGCCACTGCCTTCTCCAGGTGATTAAGGAGCTCAACTCCTCGAGCTGACAGCGCTTCATTTATTTATTCAAGCTGCAATTTGAGCTGCACATGTCCCAAGTGCTCAGTGATCCGAGTGGCAGCTGGAGCCCAGGGTATCCACTGCTGCGAGCAGAGGTAACCCCATCCCGAAAGCAAGGGAGCCGCGTGGCCGATGGTCTTGATAACTCCCAAAGGAAAAGTACTGGTGCCTAAGGGAGACGGAGCCGACAGATCAGGGACTTTTTACATCCTGGAGAAGGTGCCCAGCTACTAAGCAGCAGTTCAGACCCAAGGGAGGGGAACACAGGGCAGGGGAAGCTCCCAGAAGGGACAAGGCACCAGCTGGGACGTGCAGGAATGGTACCTGCAGCACCTGATGGGCTGAAAGACCTCAGGGTCCTTCAGTCTTCCTTTCTATTAAATCACGTGAGATAGATTTTTAGATGTCTGAGTAACAGACAACGCCTCTAAGAGATACGTAGGAGCACGGGACACGAGGAAGAATCTTCCTGCTGGACAGGAGACCTACCAGAAGGTGAAGAAAGCCACAATGACCACGGTGACCAAGAGCTGGACCATCAGGATGGCATAAACCTGAAAAGAGAGACCGTGGGGGTGATCTCGGAGCGGCTCCGAGGCCCAGCCGAGCTCCAGGTGTTTCAGGAGGGGGTTGAACACCCCTCTGCAGCCTGGGCCCCAGAGCTGAGGGTCCCCCGCGGGTCCCTTCGCGCTGTACCTTCCTGATGAAGACCCTGCGCACGTTCCTGTCGTCCCAGCTGAAGGTCGTGAGCATCTCCGTGTCACCCGGGTACCCGCCGCTGCCGTAGCTGGGGCTGCTGCCTGAAGCAGGAGACAGGCAGGTCAGTGCCTCCCGAGCCCGGGACAACCCTCCTCTAGTGAAAAACTACAAGTCAGGACCTGCAGACTTCAAGATTTTTCCTATTGCACCGCAAAACTTAGGGAGACGTGTCCTCCACATGCGCAGGGATGCACTTGGCTTCCCTCCCACTGCTGCGTTTTATTAGGAGCATCTCTGAGGATGGATAGAGGTGGAAAAACACTCCCGCAAACAGCCGCTTGATCAGGATACCGGGATCAGCTCCTCTCTCCCAAGCCCGTAATGACAACAGCGAGCTGCCATCTCCCTGCTTCCCTTGCTGGATTGAGACCAGCACGAGCCCTGAACCTCCCAGCTCAAGAACCCCAAGGAAATCACAGTTATCTTTGCACATTTGTCTCCCATGTGACTTGTTCCTCCTGCAGATATCGCTTCCTGCATCCCAAGCCTCCCCAAGTGGCTTTCCTATAGAAACGACGCGTGTGCAATCGCACCAGCCGTGCGGTTGTATCCCTGCTCGCTTCCGTCCCTGCTCTCACAAGGCTTTTTAACCAGCTCCAATGCGGGGACAGGCCGTGGTGACACTCGCATCCATCAGGCAGATGGAGCAAGACCCTCAAACCCAGAGGACAGGCTGCAACCTCAGGCACCAGAGCCAAATTCAAGGCTCTGCTCCAAAACCGACTCCATTTCACCATTTTATTATTGCAGAAGCCTCATCTCCCTGAGGAGCTTGTCGGGAAATAAATCCCTCGTGCTCTTCTCGTGCCTAGTAAGTCTCCTGTGTCTCCTTCCACAGGGTTTGTCCCCGCGCCGCTTCGTCCCCACGTTTCTGGGCAATGCCATCACCGCAGGACCGGGTGCACCTGCAGCCCGTGGCCTCGGGGACAGCCCGGTGCCTCCTGCGTCAAAGCAATCAAGGTATCTAAATGCCAAATTAGGTCTCTAAATGCCTCCGAGGAACGGAGCAGGTTTTCCTCCCCCCAGGCAAGCGTCCCTGTCACCTCCCCCCTACGGCCCAGGTATTTCTGTCCCCACAGGGAGCTCCGAGGGCAGGGGACGGGCCGTTTTGCTGCTGCATTTCAAGCGAGCAACCCGAAACGCGTGTCCCTTCCCTCCAGCGACGCCCGGCGTCGCACGTGCCGTGGGCCGGGGACACAGGGAGGGAGGCAGCGGCAGGGATGGATGCGGTGACGCACGGAGCGCGGCCGAGCAGCGGAAATGCTGCCGGGCTCGTTAGGGCAGCGGGCGGGAGATGATGCATCGCAGGTCCCGGGGACACCAGAAACCCCAGCACCCCTCCGGGCTTTACTCATGCTAATTCAGGGGAGATTAGGAAGGGACCCAGGTGGTTATTAGAGCAAGCCGGGAGGTTATTTAACCCCTCTGATTCTGGCCCCTAAAGGCAAGCGAGAGAAGCCTGCAAAGCCATCGGAGCATGCAGAACATCCCAGGGGATAACATGCTCCATTTCCTTCCCTTCCCTAAACCTCTCCATCCCTGCAGCTGCCACCATCCCACCTGCAGAGCAAGGGACCCGCAGCTCCAGCTCCGTGGCAGAGTCGCGGCTCCTCTGCCCACTTGTCCCCACCAGCTGCCACATCCCAGGGCCAGGCTGGCTGCTCCATGACACTTTTCCCCGTGCCAAGGCACAGCAGGGCCTTTGTGCACCCGCCACGGCCCCGAGTCGAGACTGCACGCGGTGCCCAGGGGAGAAAAGCTGTTTGTGTGACACTGATGCCACTGCACTGATTTCTGCTGCTGCAGCAGCTTCTCTGCAAGCCCAGGACCGGTGGGAGAGAGGAGGGATGTGACTGTCCCCAAAAATGCTTTGCATGAGGGCTCTCCCACCCCCGGAAGGTGACACTGCTTGGCAGATTGAGCTGGGATTCTCTTCCCAATGTTGCAAAGTGGTCACAGGAAGTGGGCAGAGCATTGGGAATCCAGTCCCACATCTGGAAAGCAACATGGTCCAGCTGTTGGGGGAGTTGGCACACACACTATATATATATATTTTTATATATGTGTGGTTTATAGCCCTAGGATGCTCTCCAGCATGGGCCAGCCTACACTGCAGCCCCGCGCAG